ACATTATCAGCACAGCAGAAGGTATGCATGAGCATTCAGAGACAAAGTGAGACTGGGCCGGGAATCAGCTTTGAAAATCTCAAGCCCTTGAAGCCCATTAGGAATTTGACCTTTAATCATAAAGTCATTCCTATGATAATTCCAGGACTGCAAATGTGACTTTTTGTTTCTGAGGAAATCTTCTCATAGAATCTGGAGTCTTCTGATTTCTAATTGCTACGAAGTTTGCTTGAACAAAAAGCACCTTTTGGAGTAAGGAGTTTGGAGTAGAAAGTTCTCATCCCTGTTTACTTAGTAAAATAATGCTTTTCTGTAAATTACAGCACTAGCAACGAGTTGTTGACCCAGGGCTTATATTTCTCAGTACCACTTGCTTTGCATGTTTCTCTAAATGTGTCTCAAACTATTACACTTGAATATAACGATTTTCTTTCTCATATGGATGTCAATTCACCTTCAAGTATAAAAATATATAAAAGATTTTGAATAACTTTTTTATGTCAAACTTGATCTTAATTTATTGGAAATTCATGAATTTAAACTGACTGAAGTCATGGCAAATATCCATAACTCTTTAGCTTTTATAGTTTCTCAGGTATGACCAGTAAGTTCTGAAACACCCCTTTTCTTATCTTAGGTCCCAAGATAAAGTGAGTACATCAACGATCATCTTCTGTACCTAATGATTATTAATAGGACACCATTATTTATTGTGATACTTATGGGTTTTTTATTGAAAATAAAGCACTGCTGCAGAAGAATAATTTAATATAAACAAATTACAATATTCAGGTAAATTTGTTTCCCCTTTTAAAAGTCACTTCTTGATTGATTTAGCAGTATAGATTTTATCTAAGTACTGTATTTACATCATTAACTTCTCCTCCTCTCTCCGACTATACCTAATCTACCCACCTTGTTCCTTCTCAAATCTATAGTCTCTTTCTTTTTTATTTTTCATATATGCATACATACAAATTACAAACTCATCCTGAGACCTGTCGATCTAGAGTTGCTCATTTGTATGTATTCTTCGGAATAAAAACTTTTATTGGAGAACCAATTAAGACCAATTCTGGAGTAGAATGGTTCTCTCTCTCTCAACTGTCATTAATTGCCTATAGTTCTCCACCTGGAATGGGGCTTTGTGAGAGTAACCAGATCTATGTTGTCATATCAACTGATATTGTCATTTTTGGGGTCTTGTTTTGGCAACCATATTCGTGAGGTTTAATTGATTCAGCTTCCCTAACATATGGAAGTCACAATCTCCCACCAAATGTCCTGGTCCTCTGGCCCTAAGAATCTTTCTGCCCCACCTATGCAGTGTTCCCTGATCTTTTGGTGTAGGGGTTGCATTGTAGTTGTATTCATTGAGCTACACAGTCCATAGCAAGTTGATCTCTTTAATGATGAAAGGTTGGACATTGGGATGGGGGTCTCCATTTACTTAAAAAGAAACTTCTTTGATATTAGGTGAGAGCTTCAGTTATCTGTGAGTATAATGATATGCATTCAAAATGTAGTTAGGAATTATACTTCATTAAAAAATGACAGCAACATGTTCTCCTCTCTGGTCAATGACTTTGCCTGCCGCAAGCTTAAAGCACCAGGCATGAATTCCATTCTATTGGGTGACTCTTAAGGTCAATTCAACAGCTGTTGGTCGCCTTCAAGATTTAAGTATGATCATTACACCTCTGGTAATGTATTGCCACGTTCTTCCCCTTTCACTACAAAAGAAAAGAATTGTAGGCTTGCAGATACCTTATAGTTGTAATTGAATTCTATGTTTGCTTTTTGCAAGTATGATTCTTGACTCACATACAGTCTTTCTAAAAATCCCTTGTAAAAAGTATTATAAAGTATATGATATAGAAGTTGAAGGGAAAGTATATAAAATGGACAGAATTCTCTAGTAGATACTTCTACTGTAAACAAATAATGGGGTATTGTCATAGATTTGTCCCTTCTGCAGAGATAACTGTGTTTTTAGGATCAGTTATCAAGTTGTCAACCCCATCCTAGACTTCAGATGGCTGGAAGGCAACTGAAACCTGGATAAATAAGAATGCCATAAAAACAGTCAAAAGAAAAATGGATGTTCTTCAGAACAGAACTTACCATCTCATTTATTTTGTCAAAATGAGATAGTTTGGTTGTTTTTGTTGCTGTTGTTTTTGTTCTTCTTCTTGTTGCTTTGTTTTGTTTTTTCACTATTGAAACTTTCTGGTAGAATAAGGAGATGACTTACTCCTGACAGAATAAGGCATGTAGAAACACCTAAAGAACATTCAACTGCCAACTCAGTTCTTCATTTGAATATTTCTTCAACTCGTACATTTCCTTGTATACTTTAACTCAGCAATTGGTTTGGTCCTCCAAGTAGGAATTATTTCCTTTCTCTGATGAACACAGGTTAGCTTCTGCTTCTTAAATACATTGTTCTTAAATACATTGAGCAGCATGTATTACAAATCCCACATCATCCAACATAATAATCACTGTTGGTAACACTGTCTACATGTAACCAGAACACTGGATGTTTCTGGTTAATAAGTCTGAAATTTCTGACACATGCGTCTCTCTCCACCCTGTGTCTGAAACAAATAGATGGAACTACATAAATATATTTTACAAGATTATGTGCATCATGATAGAAGATCTCCGCAGTGAAGAATCTCTTCTAGCAGGATTTCTTTATGCATGGTTAGCTTTATATATTCTTAAGTAAATATGTCTTCAAGATATTCATGTTTGATTTGTTGGTCCATCAGTTTCTTATCACAGTTGTAGCAAGATATTTTATTCAAGATCAATGTTTTATAAAGTACCCTTCTAGGAGATGATTTATGTATTGTATCAGTTGGAAACCTAAGATAAAACTGCTATTTTTTCTAAAATAAAAAGCCATGCAGTGTTTGTTCTTAGATTATTTCATTGTCTATGTTATGCTACAGAGCTATTTTTAATAATTCCCTAGATATTTTAGCTTCCTTTGAAGTAACTTGAGGACATTAAGAATAGCAAACAGAGGTCTCCGGGAATAAGAGTCTTATAATACAGATGCTTTTGATTACTCACAGGTACTGAGTGTGACATTTTAATGATCGATGTATTTTTTTCATTTCCATCCCTGTCATCTTCATCCTGACAATCCGCATTCAATCATAACTAACAATTAGTTTTCCCTCAAACCTCAAGAGTACCTCTTGGCTCAGTTAACACTCAACACTCTTCAGATTTTTAGTTCTGTTGTCATTTCATCCATTTAGAAAAAAATACACGTACTAGGCACTAAATTTTTACTTTAAAAACAAGATTTCTAGAATCTTGTCTCTGATTGTGTATAGTTTTGTGATGTGAAAAGAATCAGGTATCAGAGAATGGAAAAACTTTAATGACAGGTAATTAATGATGTGTGGGGGAAGAAATAGAAGGTGATATTGGGAGCAAGGGAAAGAAAATATCACAAGACTGTGTATCTCTCTGTCTCTGTCTGTCTCTGTCTCTGTCTCTGTCTCTGTCTCTCTCTCTCTCTCTCTCTCTCTCTCTCTCTCTGTGTGTGTGTGTGTGTGTGTGTGTGTGTGTGTGTGTGTGTGTGTGTAATATGGATTTGAACTTGGGAGAAAGAAGCCACATAACTAAGACAGTGCAGCTGTCTCCTCTTTAGGGAGATGAAGAATGTGGAGAAAAGGAAGAGGTCCAGCTGATCATCACTAGCAACATGATTCCACAGTACAGTTGCATAGACTGAGAACTCAGGCACAAATGTCACATTTAAATACAGGTGCCATTGACATAGTAGGTAAAGGCACTTGCCTCCAAACTTAAAGGTCTGAGTTTTATACCTAGGACCAACCTGGTGGAAAGAGAAAAACCCTCTTACAAGTAGTTCTATGACTATGAGAAAAGACAATGACCAGATAATACAAAGTGTTTGGGCAAGATGTGCATTTCTACTTAGAAGTTTTCAGCTGTTGCTACATAGTAATTTAAATGCTGCTTCTATCCTCAAGGAGTTACACTAGAAAAGAAACAAAGGTTCCTGGAGGTAACAATATATGATATTAGTAAAGAAAACAAATAAAATTAAAAAGTTCATGAAAAACATTTAAGTCTCTTAAACAGGAATTGTGTGGATCTTGGCACTGAACAAACATTCAGTTATAAATAACAAATATAGGAGTTTTCTTAACCATATCACAGTTTAGTATGACTAATTTACTAATTAAAATCCATTACTATGACCAAATATTCATTAATCAGGTGAGAAAGTAAAAAATGACCCCACCAGTTCATCAAAATTCCTCCTGTGGACATAGTAATTTGAGAGAGCTTTGAAAGAAAAAGGACATTTTTAGTTAAACAGGCTGCAGTCTGAATAATTCAACACAAAGAATATGGTGAATTGCTACTGGGCCATTCTTTTCAGGAAGATTCTCAAGTGACTCCAACTCCCAAACTGGGGACCACCAAAACCATATTTGCATTGTATGATACCTGGTCACTTGCCACAGACCAAGAATGGAGATTTGAATAAAATGATGTAATTGTTTCTATTCTAAAAATTTTAATTAAGAAACACAAATATCTTATTTTTTATGTTGTCACACTAGCAATTTGGGTGGGGGGCCTTTGATGACTACACTCTCTGCCTGACAGGTACCTTCAGTATCTGTAAAATTCCACAGGCATAAAAGAATAGTGGGGCTCAATACCAAAAATCTTAGCATCTTTAAATTTCCAGGACTCAGTCATTTGATACCTGGTCTCCTTTCCTTTCCTTTCTGATTAGTACAGATTGATGTGTCCTAATGAAAAACAGAACTAGAGCTAATTTCTTGGAGCAGTGTCCTATTATAGGTGGAACCTGTTAACTAATGACTTTTTTCTGTTTTGATTTTTTGAGACAAGTTTTCTCTGTAGCTTTGGAGCCTTTCCTGGAACTAGCTCTTATAGACCAGACTGGCCTCAAACTCAAAGAGATCTTCCTGCATCTGACTCCTGAGTGCTGGGATTAAAGCCATGTGCCACCACTGCCTGGCCTCCTAACTACTGGTTAATGGAATTCAGTAGCCCAGGTGCCAATGAAGAAAGGAACAGTGCATACCCATGCACAGGTTTTGCATTTCTCATTTACCTTCTAGATGAAGTTTTTAAAAATGTCACTACATGAACTGGGGAGATGGCAACCAGGAGACCCTGAGTTCTGAACCCTAGGACCAGTGTTTAAAAGGCAGATGTGACCTTGCTTATCTGTAGTGCTAGTGTATAGGGCATCAGGGCTTCACAGAAGCAGATGATAGGGGATGTAACAAATAGGCAAGTTCCTGAACCTCACTGTCCTTCCAGGAAAGCCAAATCAAAAGTACTGTTTGGTGAGAGTTCGTCCAAACGTATAACATAGATAGCAATGGAAGAAGATACCCAGTGTTGATCTCCCATCTCTTTGAACACTCAGACATATATTTCCTACACATAAAGTTCATCACAAATTTCCACAGAGTACTACTGCATTTTAATTCAACCCAGTTCTCCTGCATTGTGACTCAGCCTTTAAGACTAAGGTGTGTGTGTGTGTGTGTGTGTGTGTGTGTGTGTGTGTGATCTAGGAAACCAGAGTTCTAGCTGAATAGAGATCAATAAAAACACAAATGTTTCCCTTAACGTTTTACACTGTGTATTGTAATACAATTAGATATTGCAAACACAGAATTTGGCAAGTGCCAGGTCTTCACGCGTGTTTGGGTCTTGGCAGCTGACTCAGCTCTGGATCCAGCTTTCTCCATCAGCACTGCTCCGTTTAAAGACTCACCGTGGGGTGTTTCTGTGACCGGAACCTCTGGATTGCTTTGGGTTGGTTCTCATGACCTCTTGCTGCCCTTTGAGCATTCTGCTCGCACTGACAAACTAGGTGCCGACCAACATCAATATGATTTACAGACGCTCGATGGGAAGTAAACCCTGTGGGACAAGAAGTCAGAATTTCCCAAGAAGTCAAGGGCAACACTTGACTATGGCATTTAACAGAGTTGGTTTCAGCTTTTATTAGTAGTGTGACGGCATGGCTGTTCCTTAAATCGCCCCCCCTTCTCTTCTTTCTCTTTTCTAAATGGGAATGATAATATTCAGATGCTGTGGCTGCCAGGGCTATAACAAAGGAGCCTACGTAAAGTGTAGGGCACGGAGCCTGTCACATTAGAGGCACGGGCACAATGACGACTGTTATTACTTGCTACAGGGAAATCCCTTAACACTCTGATTCTGAACTTAGTCACGTTTATTGATGACCCAAATCCATTTGTACTCTGATGTACGCAGACACTTTCAAACTTTATTTCCAGAAGCAGAGCTTCACTCAGGTAATAACTCAGCTAAAGAGACTTTTTTTTTTCTTGAATGAATTATGCTTCTGGTGTGCTAAATTATCTCGAAGCAGTCAGCCGTGAAAATTATGTTATGTATTTCTCTTGTGTAACTTGTGTGAAGGTAGAATTTCTCAAAACTGGTTGCCCAGCATTTAATGGGACCCTCCACTACATTTGATCCAGAGTCAAGCTGTATATAAAAAGCATAAACAGGGAGGCTGGGAAGAGCTAAGAGGAACAAAACGAAGAGATAAATATTAAAAGGGAAATTTAAGGAGAAACCAAAATGAAGCTGCTGGAGGAAGTACTATGTGAAAGGAGAATTTTCTTTGTGCGTGCCAAGATCTAAAATTATGGAACTTCAGTCCATTGAAGTTTTTAATACTCATTGCCGAAATGTGGAGCAGATGTCTCTGTGACCTGTATCTATTTGAACAGCAATGTCAGAGAGAGTAGAGTCATCAATCTCCACCTTGTCTTAGAGAAAGTCCTTAGAACTTTCTGAAAAGTGATTGTATCACACAGAGACGATGTAAAATTATAACAAATTGAGACATAATGTTGTAGCTCATTGTTTCTTAAAATCAGCAGTTAGATCCTGCAACTTTTGCTATCATTGTTTCTGAACTATTGCAATATCAAATGGCATTGCATTCTCCTGCGTCTAAAGGAATTTCAAGATCTCCCATGTAGGGTTGAGCAAGCAGTTCAATGGTACAGCATTTGTCTAGTAATCACGAGTCTCTAGGTTCAAACCTCCAAACATTCAATGCAAAGAAATTAAGACAAAAAGGAAGGAAGGAGAGAAGGAGGGATGGACGGAGAGAGTTAAGGAAGGAAGGAAAAAAGGAAGAAGGAAGGAGAAAGGAATATATAGAGAGAAAGAGAAGACTAGTTCACCTTAGTCCTCAGTCACCTTGATTTGGAGGTCAAATGCTCACTGGAAGTCCCAGAAATTCTCACTCCAATAGAGAGCTACACTGTAGATAATAGTGTTAGTGTGTGGAGCTCTGACTTTTCCAATCCCTCATAAGCACTATTAAAACAGGATGTGTTGCAGTGCACTAGGGCACCATCTGCTTCTCTGTCTCTCTTATTAAAGTATGAGAAATTATGCATCCTCTTGTTTGCTGTACTTGAAGCACTAACCGTAGCTATTGAACCTGTTCATTAGTGTATTAACTCACTATCCCTTACCTGAATTGCTGCAACCCATTTTTTTTCAGGTCACTTCCCTCTATATCTTTCCATGCATTACAACAAATTAATTTTTGCAGGCATAAAAACATGCAGTTTTTTACACAGGTCTCTATTGGTCCTTATAGATTTTAGTAACCAAGATGCTTTCTTACTCTTACTCTAGTACAAACTTTGTTAATAAGAATGGTTATATTGGATTGGGAATGCAAATTTATTGATAGGCCACTCAGACACTGTGTACACATTAGATCCTCAACACCCATAAACAAGGTATGTCATGGTACATGACTGAAATCCCAGCATTTTGGGATGTGGAGACAGGAAAGTTAGACATTTCAGGCAAACCTGGGTTACATGAGATTGTCTCCTTAAAAGAAGTATATAATGCTCAAAATTTTCCATTTCTTTCAACTGTGTCCTATTAATTTCTACCTATACACTAGGAAATCTCATACATTTTAAAATTTATTTTCTTTAACTAAAATATAGTTACACCATTCCTTCTTCCTCTTAATAGATGTGGGGAAGAGTTAACTGGGAAGAGAGGAGTGAGGCAAATACAGAGGAGAGGGAGAAAGGAGGAATAAAGAAATTTGAAGATGTTTGGAGGAGCCATATAAATATTAGTTCACATATCCCTCTCCCAGTTTTGACATTCTCTCTCTCTCTCTCTCTCTCTCTCTCTCTCTCTCTCTCTCATGTTAGCACTTCTCAGCATGGCCAGAGGTTTCCCTTTGTCTGCATTATTGGTTAAAAGCAAGTTTCTAGGTCCTTGACCCTAATTAAGTTCAGAGAGGGGATTTTTATAAATACCCTTATGTGACTGTTTAACACTCTCTGCTATTTGCATTTACAACCATTTACAACAACACCTTTAGGCTATAGGACAAGTACTGAGTGTCAGAAGCAATTTGCACAAACAGAAGGCTATCATGTTAACACTTAATGTGGGTAAAGACCTCTGATAAACTATAATAAAGGTTGGTAATGAGCATAAAAATGTTTTACAAATGTTCGCAAAACTTATATATTGTTTAAATAGTATTATAAATTATTTTAAGGGTATTTATTATTTTTATGAGCATGTGTATGTGCGTGTGTGAGCTTATATGAACTACATATATACAGATACAAGAAAAGCTCAGGAGAATGTATCAGATCCCTTCAAACTGGAGTTGTATATAGTTATGATCCACTGTGTGGGTTCTGGGAAATGAACCTGTGTTTTCTGAAAGAACATTTAGCACTTATTCTTAATCACTGGGCCATCTCTCCAGCCCCTATAAAATTTATTTCTCATCATTTTCTTTGCCCAGAAAGCTTAAAGTCTTTGACATATTGATGTAAAAACAACATGCTGTAGCTTTCTGTTGTGATCAAATGGGATCGTATGAACTTAGGAGACAAAATGATTTATTTATGCTATGGGTTACAATCCATTGTCCAGGGGCAGGGACCAGGAGGCAAGAAGGAAACAGAAACCATGAAGAAATACTGCTCACTGACTTGGTTCTGATGGCTTGCTAGTCCACCTTTATACATAACCCAGGATGATCAGCAGTCCAGTGGTGGCACCACCCACAGTGGCATAGGCTCTCCCACATCAATCATCAATCAATCAATAAAATGCCACACAGACTTGCCTATAGGACAATTTGTTGAAGTCAAATTTTCCATTGGTGTTCCTTTTTTTTTCAGGTAGCTCTAGATTGTGTTGACTAAAACTTTCTAACACCCAAGGCAAGACAAGTTATTTATAAACTCAAGTTATAATTTCAAAGTGAAAGAGCAGAAAGTCCTCAGATGGGCAGCATGCTCAACTCTACAGCTTCTTTTTATTTTATGAAATTACAATCCACTTATACCACTCCCCCTCTTCCTATTTCTACCTCCAACACCTTTTGTGAAGCACCCTGCATCTGTTTTTTCTCAGTCGTGGCCTTTTATTCTTTAATGTTCCTACACACACATATATACACATAAACACACGAATAAATTCTTGTCAGTTGGAATAATATTACCTTTATGTATACCATTTGAGAGCTGAGTATATGGTACACTTTGGCAATAGTCAACAGCTTTTTAATAAGTCTTAAGACCTGCTAAACAAAAAGGAAACAATACTTGGTGTTGGAAACCAAGTCAATTGCCTTGGACTATCGAGGTAATGCGGTGTCCAATCCCACGTGACACAACTACAGCACAATTGCTGTACCTAAGGCTCAGAGGCCATCTCAGAAGAGGGGACAGAAAGACTGTATAAGCCAGATAAATAGGAAGTTTGCTAGAAGCTTGTGTCTCCTAGAAACATCAGAGAGGCTAAACCCATTAACTCTCATCAACACAGTAGTGAAAACAAAGACTGAACAAATCTAATGCCAAGAAAAATGTTTGCATGGAAGGGTGAAAGCTTGTATTGAATTAACCATAGACAAAGAGGTGTAGAAAACTGGGAATGCTGGGAATGGAGACATGATCTTCTCCAGTGAAGAGTTGTCCAGTTAGTAACCTCTTTTATATGGTGAAGACACAGAAGAGTTACCAAAACCTTCATGCAAATGGAGACATTTAAAATTACAGCCCTGGTGGTATTCTACACAATCAGAAGGGTAATTTATTCCTAACATGTTCAATTTACAGGATTCAAAAGCCAAATATTTTGAAGAGAGCTAGATCAGTACTACGATAGCTGATCCTTGTATTAGACTTTCCCCAGTTTAGCACTAGAATGTGGGGTTCCTGACAACCACCTCAGTTGTACGCACACTGAAATTGTCTGTCACATAACAGATCATCTAATTATTTCTGTCTATTGTTCAAACATATTTCAATTTGGGACTCTAACACACCAGCGGCCTATGAAGTTATTCTGTTTTATTTTTAAGTTCAATGAAGTTCTCCATGAGGCTTCTTGTCTGCCACCCTTTCTACTAAGTTTCTTTGAGCATGATGAATTGTTCAGATCTTCTATTTCTTAATCTGGAATGTGGCAATTATATATTATTTTCTTCCAAGGTAGCCATATTTCAACTTAATGCCATCTTGATTTCCAGATTTCTTGTTCAGTAGTATGCATTTTGGGAGGTAAAATTGCTGCAGACTTTTCTATAGAGAGAGAACACAACGGATATCCTAACTTGCTAAGTTGACTTCATAGGTTTATTAAATACTATTTAAAGACATAAGTCTCAACAGCAAATGAAATATAAATATAAATGTCAAGAAAAGTTTCTCTGCGTGCCCATGTTTTAATATCTAGATATTGGAATTCTCAAATAAAAAATGGTAAAACACTTTGTAAATATTTTATACCTATTGAACCTAACTTTGATGAGCAAGTTTTGGCCAAATCATAGGCTAATATGAAGTCTGATATCACTTCTAAGTTCTATCTGTATTTTTCTCTTGGTGTGTGTATAAGTCATTCAAAGGAATTGGAATTCTAATAGGAAAAAAATACTAGTTCACTTTTAACATGCCTTCCAATGTGTAACACTTCTGAGGTGGCATCACAGATATACACATTGAACTATCATTGGAAATAAATCATACAAGTCTGAGTAAGTGCAATTAAAATTTCAAAGTGACTTAATGATTATACATACATTTAATTTATCTAAGCAAGGCATCAATCTAGAAGTATTCAGTGTTATCTATCCATTGATAAACATTGCTATACTGACCATATTTTTTGTGTGTACAATTAAAACTATGAACCTCTAAATCATTTTAAAATCATAAGATTTAAAATTATGTGTGTGGTGGTGGATTGAAAGAAAATGACTTTGAAGAGGAGTGTCACTAGTTCAGTCACGTGGTTCTAGCCTTAGAGTTAAGGAGAGAATGAATGGATTCTGGAATCTGCCTCCATGCCTAAAGAAAGTCACTAGGACTAGGCACGTGTCAGACATAACCCTGAATAGAAGCCTAATACAAAGGCTATTATGTAAAGCTGTGAAGTTGTGGCCTGAATAACCTTGGAGAACCCAAAATGTTAGAGATGCCAGTGTCATGGGACACCTGCCAAGGAGAACTCCTTAAAGGGGGTATAACCAATCCAAGACAAAGAAGCATGTTGCTATCAACAAAGCTGAAAATGATTTTGACCTCAGGCATGGAAATGATGCAAAGTTTGGACTTTGCACATCTGGTTTTTGCTTTGGTTCAGCATTTCCTTGCTAATCTCTATTCCCTAAGCTTTAAAATGGTGAAATATATTCCATGTGAGTATATGTTGGAAGTATGTGATCTTCTTTTTTAATTTTTAATTTTACCTGAGATCACAATTGAAAGATTGTCATGAGACTCAGAAGGTCCTTTGAAATATGAAACAAGTTTGAGATTGTTGTCGACTTTGGGACTCTGGAAAATGAACTGAAGGCATTTTTGTGTTATGATATGGCTACAAGTCTTTGGACGTCAGGGAGTGGAATGTTGTGGTTTGAAAAATAATGCCCCCAAAGGGTGTGGCACTATTGGGAGATGTGGCTTTGTTGGAATGGGTAGGATGTTGGAGGAAATACGTCACTATTGGGATAGCTTTAGAGGTTTCCTATGCTCAGGATACTGCCCAGTGTCTCAATCAGCTCCTGTTGGCTGCCAATTAAGATGTTAGAACTCTCAGCTCCAGCACATGGCTGCCTGCACACTGCCATGATCCTCACTGTAATAACGGACTGAACCTCTAAAACTGTATATGAGCCACCAAATTAAATGGCTTCTTTATAAGCGTTTCCATAGCCATGGCAATTAAAAAACTCTAAGACAGTGTGTTTAAATAACTTGTCCATGTATATGAAATAAAGCAGTCTGTTTCATAGTACTTTGGGGCTGTATTACAGAGCGGAGGGGGAAGTATTCACCATGGAATTAGGAACATTTTTAATCATTCTGCTCTCAGAAAAATCTGGCTAAAGCCCAAGCATTTTAGGCCTCCCTTTACAATGGGAATTGATTCCTGGAAAGAAACCAACTAGGTCTTAATAAAATCCAGTGCTTTGTTGATGAATTCAATTAGCATCCTCGACTGAATACAAGAAAAAAAAAAAAAAAAGACAAGCCCATGGTTATGAACACGGTTTCACAACCTCATAGAGTTTTGCTCTTTGCAATAAAGTAGTTTAATAGTCTTCTTGATTAAATAAATTGTCAGCCACGAATGAAACCACTTCTTGGAATGAGGTCTGCGACCAAATTTAGTTTATTCAGATCTTTACGCCTTGTGTGGTCCCTGTTGTGATTTCTGTATGCCTGTGAGTTGTTGCTTAGTCTCTTCCCAGTACTGTCTGAAACAGCTTTCTGCATTGCCTGGATTCTGGGCAAAGGACAGTTAATCTGTGTCAATTTGCAGAGTCACCTGGGTTACTTTTCTCCTTGCCTTCGCTCTGCTAATAGTTGCTTGGATAGTCGGTGCTGCAGTAATGAGATTTTTCCTAGACAACCTGACTTGCTGGCAAATCCCAAGGGCAGAGGCAGGGAGACTGTAACAATTTGGATCTCCAGTATAAGGCACCTTCATAGATTTCAAAATGTGATCTCTTCAAGCAAACAAGATGGCAAAATAACTGCCCTTTGTGTTGATAATATAAATACTTTCTGTATTAAAATATAAAGCTGCAATCTTAAATTAGGAATGATGGGATCATGGAATTGCCTTGAAAAAGAATAAAATGTGTGGAAAAGTAAGAAAATGATCCTGCCGGTAAACATGTGCTGTGGAGATACTACAGGGTTATCAAAAAAGCAAACAGGCAGTGTGATGAGAGATGAGAGGAGTTCAGACACAAGTCACACTTGTGTTTGACACTGTCCAAAGTTTATTTCTTAAATGGTTCACTGTTTGTTTTGTGTTATTATTGCTGTTTTATTTTGTTTTTGCTTCTGAAACAGGTTGCCTCTGTTTAGCTTTGGCTGTCCTGGAACTTTGAGAAGTATGCTGGCCTCAGATTCACAAAGATATGCCTGTTTCTCCCTCCTGAGTGCTGGTATGAAAGAAATCACCATCACTGCCTACTGTGGTCCTAATATTATTCATCAACACCTCTTTCTTTTCTTTTTCCAGTATGCCTTGTGAAATTTTTGCACACACACACACACACACACACACACACACACACAAAATGCAAAAGGATGAATTGAGATCAAAGAAAAAATTGACAGAATCAGAGAACTAAAAACAACTAAACAATTTTCACGATGGTTTTCTTTTCTTTCCTTTTCTCTCTCTCCATCTCTTTCTGTATTGTATGTATCTATATTCACTTGTCAAGGCCAGATGAGAATATCAGATTTCCTCTACCATTCTATACCTTATATTTAAAAAAAAATCAACAAAAAACCAGAAGCTTGCCCTGTCATGCAGGCTCGCCAGTTGATCTGGGACACACCTGTTTCCAGGCTCCGAGTGCTGAGGTTCCAGGCATACATGGACATGCTGAGCTTTCACAACGGTGCTGGGGCTTAGAATCAGGTCCCCTTGCTTTGAATAGTCGGCAATCTTCTGTACTGAGTCATCTCTCCGGCATTAGCTTCTCGTTTTACTTTATGAGTATGAAAAAGAACACTATAGAAGCTTTGAGGAAAACAATTAGAAAGTAAACTTTATAAAGTCGCACATTATACTCCCGCCCCCTGAATTCTGCTACCTTGTCTGTACATTGTCCTTTGGCTGTCTGTAGTAGTTTGGCAATGCTAGCTTCTCATGCAGAGGACCTTCAGGGTTTCACCTTCAGAACCGCTCACCCAAGACAAATTAGCACAGCAGGAAGTGAGAGTTTCTCTATGTGGCTCAAGAGGAAAGATTCACATTATTTCTCTGCAATCTGCTGAAGCACATTTGACTTAATCCCCATGTCGATTTTCATTTTGACAAGATAGATGGCAACGGAAACACAATTGCATAGATCTGCACATCTAGTCCCGTTTTCAAGGCACGGGTGGAGAAAGCTTCCCCGGCTGATGACGCAAAGTGTGCTGTCACTCTCTTCCTGCGGACACACGTCTTGGAAATCAGGACCTCTCTATGCCAGCGTAAAATCCATTAACTCAGCAGCTGCACACGAATTTTGAAATTTCCAGGGCAAAGAACTCTAGCTTAGTCACCCTGATTTGCTACTTTACCGATAAGATCAGGCACATGAATGTAACAGTTTGGTTTTGAAAACCACCTTCCAGCTCTGGAGGAAATGAAGAGGAGGAGTCTGTCAGTTTTCCTTGCTGCTCCCTGTGCCTATGGCCTCTGGATGAGCATGCAGGGGTCCGTCCCTGCAGTTTGGGGTGGTAAGAACTTTGTACCCATATCGCCATATGCCTTTATGTCCACATGTTTTATTTTATATGTTTATAAGATTTCCATTGAAATTTTGACAACTAAAGAGCTGACATGAACCTATGTTCTTTGTTTCACTAATAATTTTCATAAATCTTTACCTTATTTGAATGAAAATAAAATACGCTTTTAAGAAACCTTTTGATTACAGTGTAGTGAATCTTGAGTCAAGGAAAACAGAATACAACAAAATTCAAAGCAGTGGGTTATGATTTCATATGTAGAATCATTCCACTGTTCTTTTACCTTATTAAACTGAACAGATGCTCAGGAATAGGGTATTAGTTTGATATGATCAAGAACATGGGTTTCATTTCTAACACAAAGTCACCCAAGTTCCAAAGAAACAAAAATACAATAGCAAATCCTAAGCTGCTGCAAATTACTTTTCTAGTGTAATAATGACAAGGGTATTAGATTCTGTCCTCTGCGATACTTGATACCACGATCATGTGACCAGTCTTTATAACAGCTCCATGCTATAGTTCTGGAATCATGGCACTTAGATCTTTTACTTAAGGTTACTGCCTTACTGTACTTTTCACTAGTCCTCTTACCACACATTTGCAATAAAATAAAATAGAGTGTGTCTGGATATATGAAGATGTATTACCCATGAACATGTCCAAATTACCAATCTCTCATTCAAGTTAAGTCATCAAAATTTATGTCTGCTTCAACTATATGAGAGACTCTGGTGCAACACATGGAGAGATGAAATAAAAATACACCATGACTGGCAAAGTTACAGGAAGCAAAATTACAGAAATCTCTTTTCTGTGTCATCTAGTCTCCCTCATCACAGAAACATAAGAGACAGTCATGACACATATGAACAATGAGACAAATCATGATAAAGGTGCACACACTATTGTGGTCTACAGCAGAGTAGAAAAGTAAGTGTCTGAAGCAGAGTGTAGTCATGCCAGCTAGAATGTCAGATAGTGGCCTGTAGAATCGGTACTCGCCTGAAACTGAAACCCCCACCTACAACATTACCAGAGACAAAATGGAATCCTGTGACCATAACATCATATAGGGACTCCAGAGGCAGTCTCCCTGCTCACATGCAAGTCACTTTGCTCACCCTATCTCCTGGGGACAGTATGGCATTCTGTGACTCTGAAACTAAACCAAGTAGGGACCTCAGAACCAGTCAGCCTGCCTGTCCATCAGCCACCCTACCTACAAGATTGTCCTCATATTACATGGCATCCTAGTACCATGAGCTCACCAAGGGGTGATGACCAGAACCAATTCACTACCTTTATATGAGGATGCACCAGGATTACATGGAATTCTGAACCCCTACCTTAGATAAGGACCTCCACATAACCTCTACTGCACCTTCTCTGCCCAAGGACAGTGTGACATTCTCAACTCTATCCCCATGCATCAGATCCCACTCCACCTCCGCTCTAACCTCAACTCCTGCAACTTAAGGCCCTTGGAAAACATAGTAAATTCTCCAATAATTTCTAAATATTGACACTGAGAACTTTCATAACTTATAGAAGTTTTGCACTTTGGCTAAGAACTGTACGTATCCAAAGTATGGCTGAGATGACTTCTGACACACAGTTCATGCATCGTCATTGGCTTGTCCCAGTACTGAACCCAAGCATCACAACCTGACTGGATAGAGAAAAGCAAACAAAGACAAAAATACCTACTTATCAAGGTGAGAGCAGATATGAAGAACACTATCAAAGTCCTAACTCTAGACATCAAGATTCCATCACAGGAACACAAAAATGTACAAAAAAGGGAAATATATTTCTTCTAAAATATACCTTCTTAATGTAATGTTCTCTGAGAAAAACCACTTAGTTATAGACAATTATTTCAAAATAGCAATTACAAATAATGCTCAAAGGTTATGACTAAATTATCGAATGAAGATCACAAAACACTAATGGTTGAATGAAATAATGAAAATAATTCAATCTATGCAATATAATTTAATAAAGAGATAGAATATCTGATGAAAAATCAAAATGAAAAATTAACCTTAGAACTAAATCCCATGAATTCATATCAAAAACTCAGAGGAAAGTCTCACCTAGAGATTCAATTAAGTCAAAGAGAGAATATTAATATTAGGTCTCAAAGACAAGTTAGAAAAGTTTATTCACCCAATCAAAGGGAATCTTAAGTCTAAAAATACTCAGGAACAGAACATATAAGAACTCAGAACATTATAGAAAGAAAATCTGTAAATCATGGATATAGAAAAAGAAGAACACCAGGTCAAAGATACAAGAGCAATTTTCAAAAGAAGCAGGGAAGAAAATTTCCAAAACTAATGTAAAAAAATGACTATCAATGTACAAAAGGAATATAGAACATAAAATAGACAGGACCAAATGAGAAACTCCCAACACATATGTAGCATGAGGGGCCGGCTTGTTGGGGTTTCTATCCCGCCCAGTACCCCACAACTGGCAAGTGCCAAAGAAAATCACACAAAGGACTCCATAAGATTATAAACTGATTGGCCCATTAGCTCAGGCTTCTTGTTAACTCTTATAGTTTATATTAACCCATTATTCTCATCTATATTAGCCATATGGCCTGGTACCTTTTTCAGCTGTCAGCTCACATGTTGCTTCTTTGGTGATCTGGGCAGGAATGGTGGAGGGAGCTTCCTCTTCCCTCGCCTTATCCTATTCTCATTGCCCCGCCTCTACTTCCTGTCTGGTTGACCCGCCTATACTTCCTGCCTGGGCAATCAGTGTTTTATTAAAATACATGATTGACAGAATACAGACAATTCTCCCGCACCACACATAATAATGAAAACACTGACTTAAAGTGACAGATAAAGACAAGTCCTTCACAATAACTCTTGACTTTTCAATGGGTATTTTCAATGTCTAAAGGGCTAAGATTGAAGTTCTACAAATTTCGAATGATTGTAAAAGTCAAACTACTAGTATGCCCAGCAAAATTATGAATTATAATAGAAGGAGAAAGCCAAAAGTTCCCATTATACACACAAATATAAGGAGTGCATATCCATTAAGTCACCTCTACAGAGAATGCTAGAAGAAATACTTCAGTCTGAAAAGAATATTAACCAGTCCTTCAAAGGAAAGAAAAATATACAATTCTAGAGCAGTTAACAGTTAACAAATAGAGATCTGTAAAAATGACACCACACATGAACACACACACCACACACAAACCATAAACACACATACACACATAGATAGACTAAGGTCATTGGGGGAGCAATAGAAGTTAATAAACATTGTTCAATAATAATCTCAGTATCAAGTGTCTCAAGTCTACCAATAAAAAGAAACAGAATAACAGCAGATTAGAAAATATGATCCATTCAGGTGTGGTGGCAAATGACTTTGACTTTTACCCAGGGCTTTAGAGCCAGAGACAGACTGGTCTCTGTGAGTTTGAGGTCTTCTTAGTCTTTAGTCTTCAGAGAGAGTTCCAGGAAAGCTAAGGATGTTGCCCAGAGAAACCCTGTTTGGGGGGAAAATGAAAAAAAGAAAGCAAAAGGCAAGGAAGGAAGGAAAGAAAGAAGGAGAGAGGGGGGAGAAAAAAGGGAAAAGAAAATATGAATCATCATTATGTTGTTTGCAAAAACTAAAATTCATTATTGATAAGCTTAACTTTAGGAGTGAAGGATGAAATCAGTCCAGGCAAATGCAACCAAAAAAGGTTCAGACAGAGTTACTCTAATATTTGTCAAAATAAAGTTTAAACCAAAATTAGTCAGAAGTAGGGAAGGATATTTCATATGAAATGAAGTTAAAATCCACGAAGGAGCCATTGGAATTTTAAACATTTACTCACCAAGCACAAGAGTACCCAGTTTCATAAACGGAACACTATTAGATCTAAAAACCACAGCTTGACTCAAACACAGTGCTAGTAGATGACATCAACAACTTACTTTTTCCAATAAAAAAAAATCATTCAGAGAAAGACTAAATAGAAGCACTATTTTGTTAAATGACAAAAGAAATCAAACGAAACCAAGTAACATTGACAACATATCATCTAAACAATAAACAATAATCATTCTTTACAGCAGCTCATTGAAGTTTTTCAAAGATCTATCACATTTGAGGACATGAATCAAGCCTCAACATTCTTGGAAAAATTGAAGTAATAGCTAGCATTCTATTTCACCATGAAAGAAAAAAGAAGAAATAATGATATAATACCAACTAAAACTACATGAAATACACAAACTCATGAAAAGTGTACAAGCTACTGCTAAAAGACTATTGTATCAGGGACAAGAGAAAATAAAGAAGAAATTTACAATATTCCTGGAATTGAATAAAAATTAAACACAACATACGAAAATGTATGAGACACAATGAAGGTAGTCCTAAGAAGAAAATCCTTAACCTTAATGATTTATATTAAAAAAAAAAAACAGGTAAAAACTTTGAGGGATCTCATATAACTTAATTATGTATTGGAGGATAGGGACAAATTAAAACAAACAACATTTTTAAAAAGTAGATATGAAACTATAACCAAAACCAGGTCTAAAATTAATGTCAGAACTGAACAAAATTGATACAAAGAAACAATGAAACAAAGAGTTGGATCTTTGAAAAAAATCAAAAAAACCTCGACAATTGAATAGGAGAGAGAGGAAAGAAACTACATTAAAAACGTCAGACATAAAGAGGTAACATATACCTCTTTA